ACATGGTATGACAAGATACAATAAGACCAGGCACAAATCCTCATATCAAGACTAGATGAGGGCAACTCAGTAGGAGGAAAAGGGTTCTATGAACAAGCAAGAGATTCAGAGAACACCCCCTTTTAATAGATTGTTATATAAAATAGTACAACTGGTTAATAGTTACCTGAAATATTCTAATACTAATTATCTATTTAGTGAAAGTGCTAGATAAGTCAAAAAGGGTTTTGTTTTAGTAAGTTTTTGTTTTTTGAATTGATGATTTTGGTCTACTTTTGTTTTTGGGGGACAGGGTTTCTCTGTGTAGTCCTGGCTGTAGACAAGGCTAGCCTTGAACTCAGAGATCTGTTGCCTCTGCCTCCAGAGTACAGTGCTGGGATTCAAGGCGTGCACCACCATTGCACAGCTGTGTTTTTTTTTTTTTAAATTGAAACTTCATTTTCATTCTTCTCTTTTTTCTACTCCAATCCCTCCCCTGTACTCATCATTGTTCTCTCTCTCTCTCTCTCTCTCTCTCTCTCTCTCTCTCTCTCTCTAACGAAGCAGGCCCCCAAATGGCAATGCTGACAGTGTCATAAGATGAGGGCCCAAGCCCAACCCAGTCTGGTTTTTCCTGGGCAAACATAAGGATTTGTCCCAGGTAAGCAGAAACCTAAACTCAGCAATCCCCAGAAGACTTTATGTCAGGCGTCTGTTTGTCAGGAAAGCCACTACTTCTCTTCTCTGACCTAATGGTCAACTGAGGGACAAAGAGCATCTATTCCTGATTAGCCAGAGCAGTCCACATCAGCCAAAGGACCAAACATCTTGCTGATTACCATGAAATCCACTTGCTTTCCTGCTGAGCAGCTGCTCTCTCTTCCTGTGAGATAACCTGGCAGTTTGCTCCCCAATAATCTGTTTTTCTACCCATGGTGTGGTCCAGTTAGGAGTTTTGCCTCACTCACAATGGCCTCCTTTACTTTAATAGTTATTGTTGCCCTACTGATACAACTACAACAGAAATCAAAAGGTTTTATACTTTCAATCCAATGCACCAATACGCCTCTGAAGTTATCAACCAAGGGGTGTCATCCATTCTGAAGACAAAGAAATGGAGGTTAAATAACATAAATGACCAAAGCAATATTTTTAAAGGAAATAAAACTCATTCATTTCTTCTTTTCAATAATATAAAAACAAGAAAGATGCTAGGCAAACATTTCCATGATAGGAATTATAATAATGACAGGAAAATATGACTCAGGAGAAGTGAAGGAAGCAATCATGGAGAGAGAAAACAGAATCTAGGGATCTATAGATGTAGTCCTGGCTTACCAAACACCATGAGGATGAAAGATCCAATCAACATGATAATGGCCTGGATAGTATCTGTGTAAATCACGGATGCCAAGCCCCCTGTGGAGATAAAGAGAGGAACCAGTCTTTTATCCACATGCAGTTATGTGTTTGCCCTCAGAACTGGCTTCTCCTCTACCCCAGATGCATAAAGAAACATTAGAAGTGGCAGGAAGAAACATCCAAAGCCCCTGGCTGCCAGGAGTGAGCCTGTTAATCCAGCTACCGGGGAGGTTGAAGAAAAATGATTGTAAGCCTCAAGGTCCTCTGAGGTCCAGACTCAGTCCAAGAATGGACTGGGTAGCTTAGACTTTGAAACCAAAAACCAAAGCAAGAAAATAGAGAAGCTGCAGGCTGAGTCACAAGCTTGATTCTTAGTTTGTCTGTCTGTGCTTGAAATAACATCTTATTCTGTAGCTAAGGCTGCTCTTGAGTCTCTGTGTTGGCCAGGCTGGTCTTAAACTCCTGGCAATCCTCCTGCTTTAGTTTCTAGTTCCTGGGATTACAAGTGTGAGCTACCATACCTAAATAAGCCTGTTTCCACAGCATTATCTCCCCAGTGTGTCTTTCACTAGTTCTACTCTCTCTCTAGCCTTATTCTTTCTTTTGTTCTGTTTTCTCTTCCCTTCTCCTCCCATTCCCTCTCTTCCCCTCACTTCCCTGGCCCTTCTCCCTCTAACTTTGTCTTTTTCCTGACAGGGCCTTGCTCTGTAGCCCAGGTTGGCCTTGACTCAATTCTCCTGTCTCAGCTTCCTTAGCTCTAGAATAATGGGATATGATACCATGAAGAGCCCTTGTCTTGTATCTTGTATCTGCTCAAAGTTTCTCTTACAGTGTAGTTTCACTGTTATGCTTAATTATAAATACAAAGTAGGAGAAAGGGCAGCAGTTTAATATCACTTTGTTTTTCCTATTTAGCTGTCCTTGTGCAAAGACATCCATGAAAACCATGTTTGCTCTACTGTGGGAATATATCATTGGTTCCTTAATGATATATTCTCACACTTATTTAGTGTCTTATTTAGTGGCTATGTTTTCTGCACTATGATACAGGCACAAACACATATGCACACACATGAGTGGGGTCAGCAGCAGGTGGTACATCTCAACCGAGGACACAGAGGACTCACCAGTGATTGTGAAAACAGCAGTGATAGCCAAAAGGATGAAGATCGACAGGTAAAGGTCCAGTCCGAATGCCAGCTTTATGAATATGGCTCCAGAAAATATGTTTGACTAGAAAGGGAACAGCAAAGATGGGGAAAATCATGTACTTCAGGCCTCTGGCTTCTTTTTTCAAGGCTCAATGCCCCATTCTTTCCCTGGTGAATTCCTATTCACCCCTGAAGATACTACATACATATTCCTAACAGAAGATGTTCAAACAGCAGTTTCACTCACTACTTAGCTTCTAAGTAATTAGTTCATTGCTCCCTTGAGGCATTTATTAAGTGAGGTGCCATGGCTTGAGAATTCTCTTTACCATGAGGATTTGGGATGCTCATTAGTTACCAATGGGAATCTCTGAGTTCTCATGAAGCAAAATAAATATTCTTTTTAAAAAATATGTTTAGGGTGTTTTGGTGCTGTGTGTGAGTATGGGTATCTGCATGTATGTAGAGGGCAGAGGAGATATCAGATATCCTGCTCTATCATTCTTCACCTTATTTCCTTGAGACAGAGTCTTTCAGAAAGTTACAGGTAGGCAGGTGATGCATAAGTCCACTGATTCCTGTTTTCTCCTGCCTTGTCCCTCAGCCCTGGAGTTGTAGGTGAGAATATGTGCTTTGGAACAATCATTTTGTACACCATGAATATTCATTGTTCTCATTGGCTTAATAAAGGGCTAACTGGCTAATGGCTAGACAGGAAGAGGTTAAATGGGAGAGGCAAACAGAGAGTGACGGGAAGAAGAAGGATGGATCATGGGAGTTGCAAGAAGATGCAAAGGAAGTAGGAGATGAACTTGCTGTGCTAAAAAAAAAGCTACCACCACATGGTAGAACATAGATATTAAATATGGGTTAATTTAAGATGTAAGAGCTAGTTACTAACAAGCCTAAGCTATTGGCTGAGCATTTATAACTAATAATAAGTCTCTGTGTGGTTATTTGGGAGCCAGCTGGCAGGACAGAATCGATCGGTGGAACAGAGAATGTCTGCTTACAATTGTTGCCCAGCGTCTGGCACCTGCATCCACATAGGACCTGAGAAAGCTTAAGAAAAGGTTCCAAACACACAAAAAACAGAGCCAAACAGTCTTCCTAGTCTCACAATCTCATGCCAGTCTCAATAAAGAGACTCATCTCCCAGAAGCTGCCTGTGGGATGGAGTCAGCCACCAGCCTCCATGTGCTAGCATCATGCATTAAGCTGGGCAGGACAGGTGACTGACATACCAGTTTAAGAATAGTGTCATGCAATCAAAGAACACTACAATGATCAATAAAGACAAATCCAGATGAAAGAAACCCCTAAACAGGTAGCAGTGTGTTTAAAAATATACATAGGCTTGAGAAGGAAAAGAGAAAGGATATATACAGTCGTTGAATAAAAAATGGTTTAAAATAAAATAAAACAAAATTGGGGCTGGAGAGATGGCTCAGAGGTTAAGAGCACTGGTTGTTCTTCCAAAGGTCCTGAGTTCAATTCCCAGCAACCACATGGTGGCTCACAACAATCTATAATGAGGTCTGTCACCCTCTTATGACATTCAGGCAGAATACTGTATAATAATAAATAAATAAATTTTTAAATAATAATAATAATAAAGCAAAGTCCTTTAAAAAGTCATAAAGTGATATAAAATAAAAAAGTCATGTAAAGATGGAAAATACATGGGGAGTCTGAATCCTGTATGTTATTGTGTTGTCTCTAAATTTAGATTAGATGAATGAGTGATAACTGCTAAGACACATTGCATTATGGAAGCTGTTGGATTAAGCCAACCTGCATATTTTGAAAACGTCTTAACTTCAAAATGGAAGTAAAAAATGCTTTGGAGAAGAGGTTATGTTTTTATTTCCATAGAAAATGAAAGGCTGTGGATTCCTTCTAAATTAATAGAGA